AGGAGGGGTTTTCGGCAGTGGGGAGCCCTTTCTGCTTCTGCAAGGAGAGGGAAGGATGAGCAGCAGCGGGAGGGGGACCCTTCCCTCCCTCTACCCTACATGGACCCATCGTTTCCCTCCCAGTTTGTGCTGAGCAGGACTCGGGGAGGTGGTGGGGAACCCCACAGTCTGTCCCCAAAGCCACCCTGGGGTGCCGGGGGCTGGGGAAACTGCAGCACTCGACCTTATCCCAGCGATTCCCAAAAGAATGGCGGTCAGGCTGACTCCTGGAACGGCAGGGATGAGTGACCCCGGGGAGCCCCATTCGCCCCCCAGCCACAATTTCACCCTCTCCCTCACCCGCGGGGCTGTGTTGACCCCCAGTGGCCAAAGCCCATCACAGAGGGTGCCACAGACGGGCCAGGAGGCACCCAGCAACGCCCCAGGGCTTCAGATGCTGCTGCCCAAAGCCAGGTTGCTGCCAAGACCCCCAACCAAGAAAACCCAGCAGGGTCATGCCCGCGCTCCCCAGCACTTGGGGTCCCATCACTACAGGAGCACTCATAGAATCACGGGATGGTTTGGGTTGCAAGGGACCTTAAAGCCCATCCTGTTCCACCCCCTGCCCTGGGCAGGGCCACCTCCCCCCAGCCCAGGTTGCTCCAAGCCCCGTCCAACCTGGCCTTGAGCACCTCCAGGGATGGGGCAGCCACAGCTTCTCGGGGCAACCTGCCCCAGGGGCTCACCGCCCGCACAGGGAAAAATTTCTTCCTAACATCTCATCTAAGTCTACCTTTTTCCAGTGTGAAGCCATTCCCCCTTGTCCTATCACTCCATGCCCTTGTAAAAAGTCCTTCCCCAGCTCTCCTGTAGGCCCCTTTAGGGACTGAAAGGGGCTCTAAGGTCTCCCCAGAGCCTTCCCAGGAGCATTTTTCCCCCCACGCACCGAGACCAGCTGAGGTCGTGCCGGTCATGACTCACCTCCACCCGCTGCACTTGGGAGTAGATGGTGTGTACCTCGCTGTCCTCGGCGAGCGGCGGGCGCTCCTGCTCCTGGCTGGCTGCAGGGGGATAAGAAAAGTCACCTGCAAGGGGAGCAGGGACCAGGGGGGACCCTGGCGCTTTGCAATCCGTGTTCTGCTACTGTACCCCAAGGCACAGCGAGGGTGAGCGCCTGCTGGATCCATCCCCGGCACGGTGCCCGCTGGCTGGACCCGGCTGCACCCCTATTGCGGCAGCTGCCCAGATGTGGTCAGAGGAATTCTGGCTGCCACAGGTCAGCTTTGCAAATTTGTCACCACACAGGGAAGGGGAAGGAGGAGGAGGGGCCCAGCCCAGGTAAGGCACTCAGAGAGATGATGCTCTCTCTAATTTGGGCTGGGATCATTCAGCTCCCCTTGAGACCATGCGACGTGATCTCAGAAGCCTGTCATCCGGGTAAAGCGTTGGAGATCACGTGCAGGTACAGTTCTCTTTTTTTTTTTTCTCTTTTTTTCTTTTTTTTTTTTTTTTTTTTTTAAGCTGGTTTCCTTCCTGCCTTTTACTCTGTGCTTCAAGGGAAACAGATTTTGCTCCTTCCCAAGGGCCAGGGTAGTCCCAAGACAAAATGCTCACAGGAATCAGCCCCTTGGTCCATTCGCTGGGGCTGACTGGGGGGCAGCTTCTGTCCCCCTGCAAGGTTCACCCTACCCACAGACCACCAAACACCCTTTCTTTGCGACACTCACCACCAGACATGGGCAAATGGGTGGCCACGAAGACACCGGCGAGAATCATCACTGCGGTGGTGGGTACCACCACCATCAGCACAAGATGCTCTGTCAGAGAGGGGAGGGGGTCAGCCACCAGCCCTGGGGTCCCAGAGTCACCCAGAACTGAGCAGAACAAGTTGCTGAAATCTTTCTTCATCTCATCGCCTAATTTTGAGCTGATAATGTCAGCAGAACAGGAAACGAGGGGCAGGAAACGCTTCTCTTCAGCAGACCTCTCTCTAATCGCCTCCAGACTGCAACAGTCTGCAAAAAAACCCTTGCCGGGGGCCAGATCGGGGCCAGATAAAGCCCTCAAAACTTCCCTGGTGGCTTTACGGAGGCCTGGGGAGGGAGGAGGCAACCCCTTTGTACAACGCCCTTGCGTTGCAGGTGCATGAGAAAATGGCCCTGGGACAGAGCTCTGCGTGCAGCTCCAGCCACCGGCCGGGTTACCACTGCAAGGAGGCACCCGGGGTGGCCCTGAACCACTCCCCGGGACACCACACAGGGTTGTCCCATGGTACAAGGGGTTTTGGAGCAAGGAGGAGAGAAACAAGCCCGAAACGCCCTCCCTTGAGCATCTAATTTCAGCATCTCCCTTTCTTAAGCAAGAGTCCCTAGCGTTTTTTCCCACGGGGATATATTCTCAGCACAGGTCACTGCGAGAGCCCCAGAGGAGACGTGACTTCACCTCCAGGTCCCCGGGGAAAGGGGCAGCCACCACACCACCCGGCCCCTGCGAAAGTCCCCCACGTCATGAGGGAGTGCTAGAAAACCCCGGTGAGAGAGAGCGTGACTTTTGCCCCAAGAGCCTCCGAACGGGAAGTTGTCACCGAGGTTTATATCCTCCCCGAACGGCCCGGCATACAAGTCGCACACATTTAAAACGAGCCCAGGGCACCATGACCATTCTGTGATACCAGTGCATGGTGTCCGGGGAGGCAGGTGGGACCCGCAGCTCCGTGGCCGGCGTTTACAGGAAGGACCGGGCAAAAAGTGACGCAGCAGCCACTTTTCTTGCAAAAAATCTCCTTTTGAGGCTGCCTAAAGCAGCATGAAAAAGTCCTCTGCAAAGCAGGAGCGGGAGCGGGAGGCTGGAAAGAAACAGGTCAGCAACGGGGGACTTACCCTCTTGCTCGTAGCTGCACTCGGAGGAGTTGAAGGCGACGACCCGGCTGCTGACAGGGTTGCTGGCCATGCAGGCGCAGGCGACGCTGGTGTTCTGCAGGGGGTAGGAGAGGTGCAGGAGGCTGCCGTTGCGGGAGCAGAGCCTCGAGGTGTGGGTGTCCTGGCTACCCCAGCTGTAGGAGACATTGTCCCCTCGCTCCGCTGTGCAGTTGAGGGTGATGGTGCAGCTGCCGTTGGCCAGTGCCCAGCCGAGGATCTGGATGCTGGGATCAGACACCGGCTCTGGAGAGAGGGAGCAGGGGAAGGGGCAAAGGTTTGTGTCCGGGAGAAGATGCAAACGCCACCTTGGCCCCCACCTGCAAAATCCTCCTGACCTCTTCAAATTCCCCGGGAGATGGAGAGGAGCCAGTCTGGCCCCAGACCCACCACAAACATGTCAGAGAGGGACATGGTCTGCATGAACCCAAAGGCTCCTGGGGTTACCCAGATGGGACTGCAGGAGCATCCTGGACTCACTGCAGCCGCCTCGACATGAGGATGGGCATCTCCCACCCTCCTCGTCCACCACCCACCTCCCAGCCCTGCTCCCAGCACCACAAGAGGCTGGGAGCATCCAGCAGGGTCCTCCCAAAGCAGCATGTCTCACCGTACACCTCCAGTTGTATCTGCCAGACTTTCTCCTCCGGCCCCTTGCTGACTATGTACTCATGGAGCTGCCTGTCCTCCCGGCTGGTGTTCAGGATCTCCAGGGAGAAGTCTGACTTGTGGAAGCGAGTTCGTCCCTGCATGTAGTTGGTGTAGTTGCCGTCCAAGTACTTGAGCAGGACGAGCTTCCTCTGGGGGTCCTCCGTGTCCCGCTTCCAGACGGCCTCCCCGAAGCGCAGGGTGAGGTCCTGGAGTTCGGGGGGGATCCGCAATCTCGTTGCCTTCCCCATGGTGCCCAGCACCGTCTCCCTCGCCCCGTGGCCCATGCCTGGGGGGAGAGCGGAGAGAAGGGCTGAGGAAATCAGAGGGGCACGGGGGAGCTCCGAGCCACCGTCATCCCCCCCATCCCAGCTCTGCAGGTGCCCATGGAGCTGCAGTAGCTGGTGACAGCATTGGACCCACCCTGGTGATCTGCAGATTGGGGACGGCTTGGGCTCGAGTTAAATCGGTCAAAAATTGAACAGATTATCTAACCACATTTTCAAGCTCTGGGTTATCCACCACATCCTGCACCAACGATTGCTGGCAGGTGGGAAGAAGATTTGTTCTGTACTTTGGTGAGCTGTAATTTGGTGCGAGCTCTGCCCCACACCCGCCCCACAGCACCATCCCCAGAACCAAAGGAGAGACCCCCAGTCCTCGGCCCCACATCCTCCACCCCGAAGGATGAAGGTTGGGGGGTCAGCCCAGGAGCCAGAGGAGAAACATCTTCCTCTGCTCTTCCTCCCCACTCTCGCCTTCCTGGAGCAAGGCAAGAAAGTCTTCATTTGCATCAGCCTCAATGTTCTCCTGCATTGGGCACTGCTGTGTACGATGGCAAAATCCTGATTTAAGGGCTTTTCATTGGCACAAGGACAGCCAGCCGGAGTGGTGGAACATCACCCCATGGAGAGGAGCTGCCTCAAGCAGGGGAAGGCACCCGTGGTCCCAATCTGGTGGAGATGTTGGTCCTGGGAGAAGTGTCCTGGCAGCAGTGGGACCAGCCTGGAGTGACACCAGAGCAGTCCTGAGGGAAGCTGATACTTGGCGGCTCTTGGCCAAAGCCTGCAGTTGAGTGCCTTGAGCGCCTCGGCTCCAGAAACATTTGGTGGGGCTTTTCTTGTAGAAATTGCAGGAAGTGCAGCCTCCTGGAGGTGAGCTCAGCTGTAAATCCCAGGTTGTTCTTCTCCTGGTCGAGGTGGTCCCAGGTGCGCTTCTTGGTGGCCACAGAAGAGTGCTCTTAAGAAATCATCTCCCACATGTCCCAAAGCATCTCAAACTCCTGGATTTCCTGGAGAGCATGCAGGAGGATCTTCTCCCCCAAAAGCTTTTCCCGTCTTCAGTTACAAGGCAGTGATTCATATTTGCCCGCACCCCCGGGGCAAACAAGTTTGTTTTTGTAGGAAAAAACAGCATGGGGAAAAGGCGCCAGCTCACCGCTGCTGCCAATTGCCGGCAGCGGGAGCACGGAAGGAACCCCACCATCCCACCCCCGTGTTTCCTACTGACTTCTTTCCATCGGGGTGAAGCTTTGCCCCAGAAGGGAAAAACAAAAATCAAAAAAAAGAGGGGGAGCTACCCCGGAAGAACAGGTCCAGGGAGGCCCAGATAGGCCCAGTACCCACCTCTCCTGTGGCGCATACGGTTCCAGTAAAAACCACAGGGCGAACGTTCTCCCTGCCGCCATCCCAAGCGAGTGCCATCGCTTATTTTTTTCCACTTCTGTGGCACAAAACGCAGCAGTTTCTGATCTGTCCCTGTGGACTACATCTGCCTAACGTCAAAGGAGCTGTGCGGACTTGGCCATCATCCTGCAGAAACCCCACCATCCATCCGACCTGGAGCCTCCTACATTTTTTGCTGAGATGTTTACTGTAAAGCCCAGCACACAGGCGGATGCCGTGTTTTCTCAGCAACGTGTATTTTTGAACGCGCAGTGGTCAGGCTCCTCGTTAATTACCAAATGGGAAAGCCCTTTTTTACATCACATTAAAAAAACCCTCTGCCCCAGTAAGGGGCATCTCCATCTGTGGGGAGGACTCGGGTGGAGCGAGGCTGCAGGAGGAGGGATGCAAAGATGTCTGGAACCACACAATGCCCAGGTGGAGAGGCTGGAGGAAGGCAAACGAGCCACACTGGCCCAATGCTGGGTCTGAAAGCAGCCCTAAACATCAGCTGTTGGGCTCGTGGGACTTTCGGTGCGCTGGCCAGGCAGAAAACACCGGGGGGATTTTAAAGGCAGGTATTCTAGTAACAGCGAGCCAGCAAAGCCAAGGAGAAACCCCAGTTCTGTCAAGGTCTCTGATTTCCTGGCCGAGCCCTTCGTTTTACACCCGGTAATTACACAGACGCAGTGGCAGAGGGTTCACGGGGCTGTGGGGACACGGAGCGTCCCCAAAGGAAGGGGCACGGACCTCAGGCTGTCACCAAGGAGAGGGTCAGGATTAGTCACAGCTCTGCTCGGGGGCCATGACTCCCTGGGTGCTTCAGCGCAGGCTCAACGCCACCAAATCTGATTTTGCAACATCCTCCCATAACTGCCAACAGGTTGGGACGAGAGGACCCAGCAGCCCTGGGGGTGGTCCGGGTGGCCCTCACTCCCTGGTCTGGGGAGGACTGTGACTCGTCCAGGACACCATCGTCCCCAGGGCACTCATCCACCACTGTCCAGGGCTCTCCAAGCACCCAGAGCACAGGCATCACCCCGCTGCCGGTCCCTTTCCACCCACCTTACACTCATTTTAGTGCTTGGGTACCATCCCCCAGCTCGCCAGCACCTCCTGATCCCAGGCACTCGGTATCGCAGACAGTGAGACCATCCACCAAGGACCTTGATCTCAAGTGCCCCAATTCACATCTGGTACTAAATTATTTGCTCAGGGCTATTAATACACCATTAAAACATGCACTAGAGTGCTTCACTATTGCAGCTACACTTTGTCTGTCACCATCTTTGTTCATTCATCATCTTTTATTCTCTCCTTCCCTCAGCCTGACGAGTCAGAGAGTATTAGGGATGCACCGCGCATCCAGCTCGGAGTTGCGAGCCATTTATCTTCTCTATGAATATTTATACTCAATCTGCCCGTCCGCCCGGCACGCAGCTCGTGGTTTCTAAAGGTCTTAATAGCTGACAAAAATCCCCAAAAGAGTCGAATCAAGCGTTTCGCGGAGAGGAAAACATACATACCCCAAACACAGCCAAGAGACATCAGCAGCCAGAGAGATGCGCTGCAGCCCATACCTCAGCTCACGGAGCCTCTGCTGCAGCGGAATCAGCATCTGCCACCAGGCTCATTATAAGAACAGGTGTACTCAAATCAGAGGCGCTGCCCTGGGCCATGTGTTTCCTGTTTTTTGGCTGAATGACTCCTTTTTTTTTTTTTTTTTCTTGAGTGGAAAGTATTCAAAGCACCGAGTCTTGCTGCTGAATGCTTCACCGGAGACAGCCCAAGAGACCTGCAGAAGGAAGCAGAGCATCAGTTCTGAGTTTGTACCAGAACTGCATCATCCCGCCACGGGTCCTTAACCCGACCCCAAAAGAAGAGGAAACGACCAGTGAAAAAAAAAATCATTTCACTTACAGTAAGAGCTTCCCGGGACTGTACAGAGCCAGCCAACCCTGCTACCGCAGAGTGGGCAGAGGTGGGCGGCTGCTACCCTGATGTGGCAGCATCCCAACCGCCGCAGCTCCATCCCAGTGCTGTGGGGCCGGGAACCGACCCAAAGCCTGCACGTAGCACAGCGGTGCTCGCAGCCACAGCCACGGTGCCGAGTGGGTGCAGGAAACGCCCAAATATTCTGGAATTAACCCATAGCCCTGCTTTGGGCTGCACGGGATCTACAGGGAGGAGGAGTGTGGGTGGTCGTTACAAACCCACCCAGGGAAAGCCCAATCCTTGTTCTCGGGCTGAGTGCTCAGGGAAGTGATCTGGACTTGGATTTGCTCCTGCTCAACACCATCCCCACAGCATGCTCGGGGATGGGGACGGTCCCGCCAGATGAGGATGGGGACGGTCCCCCCAGCTGGGGATGGAACAGGGACCGCAGCCTCTCGCGCTCAGCGGAGAGCCGGGGATGGGGAGCATGGGGAAAACACCGCTCGCTTGTTCCGCTGCTGGAAAGGGGGTGAGAAAAGCTCAGTTGTTTTTGTGTTTTTAGTCTAATGAATTATTCACCTCCTCCAGTGCTCGGCCCGCACAGCTTTAAAATGGGAGAAGTGTGTTGTTTTTTTTTTCCTGTTGCTTTCTTCAAGATTTCGTTGCTTTTTCTGGGTTCTGGTTCTGGTTTCTGGGCTCCTCGGGTCAAGAAGTACAGGGATCTGCTGGAGAGGGTCCAGCAAAGGGCTACAAAGATGGTGAGGGGATTGGAACATCTCTCTTATGAGGAAAGGCTGAGGGACTTGGGGGTTTTTAATCTGGAGAGGAGAAGACTGAGGGGGGATCTTATCAACACTTATTAATACTCCAGGGGAAGGTGCCAGGGGGATGGGAACAGTCTGTTTCCAGTGGTGCCCAGTGACAGGACAAGAGGGACCGGGCACAAACTTGAAGATAGGAAGTTCCATCTCCACCTGAGGAGGGACTTCTCTCCTGTGAGGGCGTCAGAGCAGTGGCACAGGCTGCCCAGAGAGGTGGGGGAGTCTCCCCCTCGGGAGCCATCCCAAACCCGCCTGGACGCCGTCCTGTGCAACTGCTGGAGGGGCCTCTGCTCTGGCGGGGGGTGGCACTGGGGGAGCTCCAGAGGGCCCTTCCAACCCTCACCAGTCTGGGATTCTGGGATTCAGAGGAGAGCCAAGGTGACAGCGTGAAGCAGGAATTCCTCCTCTGTTTTAAACCAAATGTGAGTGGATTACCACTAGGAAATTCTAGTATTTCCACGAGGAAATAAAAGGTGAACTTGCACCCCACAGCTTTTCAGTGGAGCCAAGCTCCAAGACCTCCATGAGTTTCATTGCCAATAAATTATTTCTAATGATAAATGCCTAAAACCACACTAAACCACCCTGGCATCCTGCTAGGCTGCTCCTTCCTTCTCGGATAACTTCTGGCTGAGGGGAAAAAAAAAAAAAAAGGAACAAAAAAACCAAGAAGCCATTTCCCAATAACCAGCAATTCACAGAAGGGAAGAGCTCAGCAGAGGAGTAAAAAAGAAAGGACGAGTAAGAGCAGCATGAGGGGACACGGCTGCTTTTCTCAGCACACACACACGCACAAGGATCTTCGGCTCAGCTGAAAGGCGGCGGTGGTTTCTACCGGAGGCAGCACTTGGCCAGATGATGGAGGGGTGAAGACATCACCTTGGGGTATTTTGCAGAGGAGCGAGCTGCCCCGGAACAAATCCCACCCAAAGAGCCGGTGGTGAGGAAAGAGGTCTCCAGTGGATGGGTTCCACCAGCTCAGCCCCCGCAGGGAGGGCGGCAGGATGGTGCCCAACCCTCCCTTTGCCATGGAGAGGTGTCCCGTGCTTGGGCGCAGGCTCTGCCAGCACAGAGAAGACCGTTAACCACAAACTGGTCCAGGAAAACCATAAAACCCCAATATCACCCATGGGGCACTACCACAGCGTGCCCTGGGCTGGGCTGGGCTTGGCTGGCACCAGCCAGGAGGAATGAGAAAAATTATTTAACAAGCAAAACCATCAAGAAAAAAATCCTTCCAGGAAGCACCAGGGGGGGCACAAAAACATAGAGAAAAACCTCCTTTAACAGAAAATAATGATCCTAAATGCCTTTAACTTTCCCCATCAGCTCAAACTGAAGTCTCCTGGCTGGAAAGATGACTGAGACATGGCACTGGGCTCCGTATTTATTCATCGCAGGAGGTTTTATGATGGTGATGGTCCTCAGCGGTCACCCTGAATTTTGTTAGAGGCTGAAGAGCCCCAAACCTCCACATGGGAATGGACCAAGACGCATGCAAATATTTTCAAGTGGGGGGATTTCCTGCAGAAGAATATACATTGGTGCTAAACCCATCAGCCCACCCAGAAGGAATTACCCCGAGATGCTCGTTAGAGCCAGGAGCTGGAACGACTCCTGCTCATTACTGTTTTTTCAAATGAGCTGGCAAGGTCCCTGTCGACCCTTTGATGAATCTGGCCTTAGGAGTCTTTGCTTAAAGATGGATCTGGAACGTGATGGCTCTTGGGTTTTACAGAGGGTAGAGCCCAGTTCGGCCCCTCATTGGGATGGTTTTGCCAGAGCTGGCAGGAACAGCAGCGTCCCAGGGCTGCGGTGGCCCTGACACGTGTCCCCATCCCTCCTTGCAGGCTGAGGGACCATCTCCATTGCCCACAAGACACATCCTCCCCCACAATGGGGCCGTGTCCCACCATCTGGAGCCAGCTCCTCCCATGTGGGACAATTGTGGAAGGGCCCCTGATCCCAGCAAGGGTGGTGGTGGGGAAAACGCAGCTCCCTCCATCACCCCCCCAGGCCCCGAGCGCCTGCTGCAGCTGGCTGACCCCAGAAAAGAATGCAGAACAAGAACCTAAAAATGTGGGGTTTAAGGTTAAATTGAATTTAATGTAGACACAGAAAGGTATTTCTGAAGGGAAAGACCGTATTCGCCCTGCCAGAGAAAGCCAAAAGTGCCACCATAGTTCTGCCCCCTCAAGATGCTCCGGTGCTCCAGACCTGGAGGTTGCACCCAGCTGAGCCCATGCTGGTGTAACTGGTTTCAGGCTAAACACGTCCTGCACTGTCACACCATAAAGGTCCCATAATGGGCATCGCCAACAGCAGGAGATGACTGAGGACGCCGCAGGTCCACAGGGACCCCTTGGAGATGCTCAGATTGGGTCTTCCCCCAGACCTGAGGTTTGGGAAGAGGAGGGTTTCCGAGCAGTTAACCATGAATTTAGTAATTTAGATTACCGGGGTTCTTGAAGCACCATTATAACAAAATTCATTCCCATTTAGTTCAGGTCTGGAGAACATGACCTCTGATTAAAGCAGAGGAGAAAAGATGAGGAGGGAAACTGAGGCACAGAGCTCCCCTGAGGGCAGCAGCAGAGCGACTGGCGCCCAGGCTGGCAGGAAGAAGGCGGCCGTGGATGAGACCGGGTGCGTGCTGGTGTGAAGGACACTGGTTGTAATGGGTCCCTTGAGCAACCTCATCTTTTTGTGACCAGCTGGGTTGGGGTCTCATCCAGGAGCTGGTCCCGCGGTGGAGGGTGATGAGATGAGTAGAGATGTCAACTGCAGAGCATCCTCAAGCCACAGTGAGGAGGAAGAGGAGGAGGAGGAGGTGTCCCAGGGCCATCAGCACGCTGATGGTGGTGCAGGGTGCAGCAGCAGAGGACTCACCTGGAGGCAGAAGGAGATCCGGGGTGTGGGGGATGCTGCGGTGTGCCCGGCCCTGGCAGGGGACCCCCGACCCCCTCCCCAGGTGGGCTCCTGACACCCATCAGCCAGCAGAGCAGGGGGGAAAAAACAACCCACCACTCCTGACCCATGGGCCACCTCCAGCCTTGCAGGGACCCGCCGTCCTCAGGGTCACCACCACTGCCCTGGGGGCCCCCCGAAGCCACCTCCACCTCGCGGCCCATCCCACCCGAGTTTTTGCCATCTCCTGTGCGCACCGTGGGCAGTACCTGTCCAGGAGCAGGGGTGCCTGTAGGTCAGCAAGGCGGTGTTGGAGGAGACAGGGTTGCTGACTTTGCAGGTGTAGGCTTCTAACGAGGGGTTGAAAGAGACATGCTGCTCAGAGGCACCTGCACCCTCTGGCAGGAGCTTGTGGGTGCGAATCCACTCGTAGGTCACCCCTTCGAGCCCCACCGAGCAGTGCAGGGTGGCTTCGCACAACTCCGGGCCAACCCTGGTCACTTCAGCGCTCACAATGGGCTTTGGGACCAGATCTGCAAGAAGCAGTGGGGTGTCAGAGCCTCCCTGTCCCCCCGCGGGGTGCTGGGACAACCCCTCCCCTTCTCCCAGCTCACCGTAAACCTTCAGGTGGACGCTTTCAATGCGCTCCTTGCCCATCGCATCCTCCAGGTACACCTGGTACACACTGCTGTCGGTTTTCTGCAGGTGGCTGATTTTTAAGGTGGCGTTGGGGAAGAGCTGCAGGCGTCCCTCGTAGTTGCTGTCGGGGGACTGGACCATCACCCCGTTCTCCCAGATGGCGATTTTCACAGCGTTGTCACGCCGCCAGTGGAATTGGGGGTAGGAGATGTTATTTTGTGGGCTGGGGCTGAGATACGCCACCCCATGAACAGCCCCGACCACCTCCGACGGCCCACGTTGTGCCCAGGCTGCCGAGAAAATGGAGACTGGTGCTGCTTGGCCAGCCGGGCAGAGCGCACCCCTCCCCAGGACTCATCCTCGCTTGGGAACCTCAAATTCCTCGCAGACACGTGGAAAATGCAAATCACCCGCTTGCTCACTAATTCCTAACGCCTTTGCAGTCCATTGGCCTTGGAGGCGTGTTGCAGGGACAAACCCTATGCCTGCTGCCAGATTTCTGCCTCCTCACCCCAAGCACACGACCACCCACATGCCCTGGTGAAGTTTCTTTTTCTCTTTTTTTTCCCCCTTTTGCTTTCATTTTTGGGGTCGTCTCCCCCCCGCCTCCCCTCCAGGCTCACCCAGAGCAGCCCCTCACCCCCAGCTCGGTCGTGGCGGTGCCGGGGGCTCCTGCAGGAAGGGGGATGGTGGGTAACACCTCGGGGACAGCAGAGGGGGAACCCACTGGGGGAGAAGTGCAGGGAACCCCAGCTGGGGAAGAGTGCAGGGATGGGGAGGGTTTACCCATGTGCACCTCCCCGAGGTCCCCCACCATCCCCAAAGCCATCTTCCCCCCAGCCCAGCACCCTCGCCCCGGGGGAACCCACGGCCGTACCTTGCTTGATGAAGAGGAAGAAGAGGAGAGTAATTGCAGCAGCAATCTTCTCTCCGTGTCCGCACCCAAACCCCGGGGTGGAAATCTCCCTCACCAGGCAGCTGCTCATCGAGGACCCCCTCCCCGAGCCTGCAGCCCCCCGCCACTGTCCCTAAACCCAGAGCTGGGTGAGCTCTGCAGGAAAGGGGATGACGAAGTGACAGGGCTACCGCGCATCCGGGAGATGGCATGAACCCACCACATTTCCTCTTCTGCTTCTGCGCTCAAGAATGAACCATCAGTCCAGGGTTTGCAAGTGGTTTGTGACGTTGGCCCATGGGCAGCCAGCAAGAATAGGTGGCAGCCCCGTGTCTCTCTGGGGACACTGTGCACAGCACCCCGTGGGCCACTGGCCCCCCAGTCAGAGTCACCCCATTACCATCCCGATGGTAAATAAAACGCAGACTCCAGGGGTCACATCTCCCCTTTACAGCTGCTGTAACCGACCCACAGAGTTCCCATTTCTCTGCCTGCACGTCCAGGTCTGTGTCCTCAACAAGGCCTGACCCAATACATGCTATCACAGACCTGCGGGGCCCTCTGGAGCTCCTCTCCTCCACCCCCCGCCGGAGCGGGGTCACCCAGAGCAGTCGCACAGGACGGCGTCCAGGCGGGGGTTGAATCTCTCCGGAGAAGGA